TCCTTTGTCAGTGTGTCCTTTGCCATTCCCTATCACTCCTCCCTGAGAGAGACTTCACCCCGGGTTCAGAGCTATTGTACATGGGGTCGCTATGAGCTACAAAGAGACGCGACAGCACATAACAACAACAACAACTTCTCTACCTCAAAGGTGATGTGTTAACTCAAGATTCTTGGCTATGGAGAAAAGATCTGATGGTTTCTCTTACATGAACAATTATTCATATTAGTTTCAGGTCCATATTAATCTCATCAACAACCATGAGAGGAATTAAAATAAGAGGAGGAGTTATTGTCAAAGTTGTTGTTACGTCCTATTGCATCAGAACTGACTAGTAGGTTTTCAGAGGCAGTAAAATGCATAGGAGAACAAAGCCCATTTTTTTTCCTATGGAGCAGCTAGTGAATTCAAGCCACATGTCTTATGGGTCAAAAGTAGTCACTTACTAACTTTTGCTCCAGATGGCCAATATGTGCCAGTGGAAAGTGGACAGAGACTGAACACTATCAATACTCAGAGAGTGCCAACAGTCCACAGGGAGTCATGGTGCTAGACCGAAGCCTGCAACGCTGGCAGTTACAAACCATCAGCATCTCTTCAGGAGAAAGAACCATTGAAACCCAATTGAGGGTCAGCTATGACTCAGTGGCAATGAGTTTGAGTTTGAATTTTTTTAATAAGAGAGGTCTGGTGATGCAGTCCATAGCAAGTTATACTGTTAACCCAAAGGCTGTGCTCTGCTGGTGGTTCAAATCCACCAGCGACTTCTTGGAGAAAGATGGGGACAGACTCATCTCTTGTGATTTACAGCCTCAAAAACCATGTCAGAACTTAGTGCATGGAATTGAGTTTGAGTTTTAAAAAGTTGATCTACTAAAACTGTGTTTATTCTGTAACACCTTGAAAAAGATATTTGACCCTAAAAGAAAAAAGATATATTTCACACTTACTTTGAAAGGAAATCCTTTTCTTTGAAATAAAATGACAGCATAAAGCTTTTAAATGGGCATATATTATAAGACTAAACTGACGAAATCTCCAACTACTGTTTTATTCATATGATCAAATATAAACTATTCGGATTTTTTAAAAACTGCAATATACTCAGAATGAAGGCCTTAACAAAATACAAAAGACATATCTCTAGAGATTCAAATTTAAAACTATTTTTTTTAAATGAAAGAGGGAGAAAAATGAACTCTTTCAAATTATCTATAAACAAACTGTCCAAAATGGTAGTCATTAGCTGCACTGACTAACTTTAAATAAACAGAAATAAAATAAAATTTAAAATGCTGTTTCCCAGGTGTAATAATCACATTCCACGGGCATCAGTGAAGAACAGGGAATTTCCATCATCATAGAGAATTCTACTGAAAAGACTGGTTTAGCAATTTTGGTGTTTAAAGAAACCTTACCTGATAGCCCAGTGAAGAGGAGTTGAATTTAAATCTCCTCCCAACTGATCTACAACAGCACCTTTGGAAATATAAAACCTGGTAAAAGCAGACATAAAGGAAAATAAGATTTCAAACTACTCAAAAGGAAAAAAGTGGTGTTTTTGTTTGTTTTTTGTTTTTTTTTTTTTAGTAGTAATAACTGTGCTGGAAAACAGAAACTACAGTAATGACTCTCCTGAAGCACTACGTTTATACAAGTCCGAAAGATTCACACGGCAGTATTAAACACGCTTCTGGTGAAACATTCTTAACAGGAAAGCAATTACTTCTGCTCTAATTAGCATTCAATTACTTACATACCAAACACATGATAACTACTCTATATCTCCTAACTACTACAACACTTTTCAAACAAGAGTTTGTATTTCAAAGATTTAGGATTACAGAAACTCTACTTCTTAACTTGAAGGGAGACAGGTAAACATAATAGGTAAATAATTGGAATTGTTACTTAACAGGTACAAAATTAGAACAGCAATGTGTGAATGAATTCTCAAAGAAAGTGGTAAAAACACACTCAAAATTCTTCTAGAAAAGATAGCATATTGAGTGTTTCTGGTCTCCATTTTCACAGCAAAGATGAGATGCACCATATACGGTAAGAATTTTTTTTAAGGTTAATCTTTTAAAGAGACGGGTTTTCCTGTTTACAGGAACCAGTCTTACTATTCCTAAGTTGCACTTCACATCGTGTCACCTAAACAACACACCTGCTTGTTCCTACAAGGATTTTTTCCTGATGGCAATATGAGTTAGGATATTGTACATTTTAATACCCTTTCACTGTCTCAAACTTTGAGAATTTTAATACACATAAAACACAGAAACACTTACATACACATGTATATATTATATGCAAAAATATAAAATGAAGAAAGAAAAGACACCAGTGGGTAGGGAGCAGTGTTTAAGAACAAGTATTCAATTTAAGTCCACGTGAACCTCAAGTTGTGAGAACTGCACAGTCAGGGTTTGGTGTTTTTATTTCCTTCAAAGTTATTCTCCTGTCTGCCTTTTCTTCCAGATATTATATTGTAAAAACTTAAATGTGTTTTCTACAGTAGATGGAACTTCCTGTTCTACTATGAGAAAGTTTTGCTTTTCCTTCTTTGAAAATGTTCACTTTCACTTCCAGTCCAAGGTTCTTTTTTAGTCTAAGATTAACAGATGTGTGTGGCAGAATTGTTCGGTTATTCACTTACAAGGAAACTATAGATGGTTCATTATTTGTACTTGCACTTGAGGAAAATGACAAAGGGAGAAGTCTGGATTTATAAATAATATGCATATTTCACTTTACGGTGCTTATAATGCGTGTTTAAAAAAAATTGAGGGTGTGTGGCATCCCTGTGTCGAGCCGGCCTGCTGGTACCACATCTCCCACAGCATGTGCTCACTTCTTATCTTTGTGTCTCATTCTGGCACCTCTCACATTTCAAACTTTTTCATAATGCACACTTAGTAGACTACTAAGTAGTGTAAATACAGGTTTTATACAAACTGGGAGACCAAAAAAATCATGTGACTTGCTTTACTGCAGTATCTGCTTTATTACTGTGTGCTCATCTAGAACTAAACTTGCAATATCTCCAAGGTATGCCTGTACACACTTAATAGCCTTAAAGTACATACACCACAACTTACTTTACAAGATCCAGCCTGTTGTTAATAGCAGCCCAATGAAGAAGCGACACATTTTCTTTGTCTGGTTGTCTGACATCATAACCTGCTTCTACCAACTCTTTGCATCGTTCAAAGATGCCATACCTCGTAAAAGGAAAAGGAAGACAAAAAGGCATTATTGATAGCATTCAAAAGAATTTCATCCGTAAAAATTTCTTCCTCAGTCAGGGAGTTGCTCTGCAGACCCAAAAGGTGGACAATGTGTGCAATATTCTTTTACACAATTTATAGCCTCTGAAAACACACTGGCAGGCCAGTTTGATGCCAACTTATTGCCAATTTGATGGCAACAAGAGTTTTTCCCCCTTAAAAATCATTACTTTATCCAACCTGCCTTCAGGTTAACACAGGAATATGGTAATTAAGGTACACATAAATGGGACAGAGTAAGCCAAACATAAGTAAATTTGGTTCACTAATTGATTGGATTAATCCATTAGGGGTGAAATGTAACTTTCTTACATAAATTTTAACACTTTTATTTCCCTTCCTTCAGAATGTCACTTGATCCCCTACAATAGAACCAATTCTTAACTACAATTTTATCCATGAACGAAACAAAAATCATGCAACAATCCCACAATACGTAAACATGGACTGGGGAGAAAGATCAACAATCAAGCACAGGTGTGGTAGAGATAGAGCAGAGGAAATGATTAGGCTTTTTAAGAGGAGAAACATGATATACGAGCTGGGTTGCTTAGACTAATAAAAGTAACCAAGGAACTTCAGGTATGAAACTATATGATGTTCAGAGAAATGGAAACAATTTAGCATTGCTGAAGCATACAGCATAACAGATGAGGCTAGAACAGCAAGGGCCACTTCCATGTTACGCTATAAAATTTAGCCTTTTTAATTCAAAGAAAGGGCTTAAAAGAAAAGTACTCACATTTGAGTTTTAAGAAAAATTGTGTTAATATTATGTATAGTATGGGAGATGATTAGAACAGATGAAACTAGAGACAGATCAATTCACAGGTTATTGGTCGTGGTGAGGAGCCATGCTGCAATCCCAAAGGCACGGAGTTCGAATTCACCAGCTGTTCCATTAGAGAAAGTTGTGCAGTCTCCTCTTGTGTGATTTACTGCCTCCAAAAACCCACTGGAGGGTTGGGCGATGGGCCAGTTCTCACTCAATGGCTCATAACAAGACACATAATAAATACGGGCAGGGGGCAAAGAGCACCTAACATCAGAGAAGCGAACAGTATGGAACAAGGAGAATGGATCCGAGAGAGTTACCAAAACTGAGTGAATAACTGACTGAAGAGAGAGATGCCTCTTTTAAATGCTATACATATTTTTACATTTAACAATTTAGGTTAGCATATTTCTATTCAATAGAAACCATTAAGTTTCAATAGAACACTAAGTACTTTCTTTGAGACTTATTTCTATTTAGAGGGATGAACATTTCAATAGGACTCAGAGACTAAAATGAGATCAAATGGTGGGATAATCTCTGTTTCACATACTATTAAACTAGAATAGTTTCTGCCAGGACAAAAGAAAAAATAAAATTGGGCATGCATGTGTATATATGTGTCTTTGTGGCATGTCTATGTCATTTAGACATAGACAAGGAGACAATGCTAAGTTAAAATATTCATAATTCCTCAAGACCTAAAGGAAACTTTAGGATAGGTATAAAATGTGAAAGTTTTACAGAGATTCTCCTTAAATACAGCCCATTTATGATAACAGAGTTTCACTGTTAACAGAGAAATATTTAAATGTTTTATGCTAATTATAGCAAATATTTACCTTTAGAATATGCTAATCCCCATATAAATTAAGTTTACAAACAATATAAAATATTTACCTAAAGAGTGGATTCTAAGGTTTCCTAAATTTGCATAAGTTAGTAATTAGAACCCTCAAATTAAAAGTATTTTTATGGCATAAGTCATACATTAGACTATGTTAAGGCCAGATTAATTACCAAAAATTTTCACTTTTGATAAAAATTATATCAAGTCAGTGTAATAGCACTACTTCTTTCATGTTCATTAGAAGCACTGATGACAAATTTAGATTTGAATACTAAGAACAGGAATTATTAATAATGTCATCTGACAGATAAAACATTTACAAATATCTACAATCCCTTATTTGAGGTGACGTAGATGCTAATAACCACTGAGATGTAGGATGCTGAAAATTGGAAAATAATTGATTTAATACAGATAACCACATATGGAGATCTCGTCAAGAGAAAATTTTAAAATCCACTATGATAATCCATTATGCTTCACATGATTAAAGAATGCATTTCTACTTTACTTACTGCATCCAAGTCAATAAGCACACAGAAAGTACTCAACAACTAAATACTTGTTAAAAATAGCCACAAATGCATGCGTTAATATTTTCCCATCTACATATTTAGGCTATGAAGAAAAGCCATCATCCACTCCCACTGAGTTGTGACGCACAGGGCCCCTCTCTGAGCTGTCTGAGGCTCTCCCTCTTCATAAGGGGTCTCGGGTGCTGCAGTCTGAGGCGAGCGGCACCACTAACCTAAAGGCTGTGCATGTCTGGCAGACTGAACCCACTTGTAGCTTCATGGGACAAAGATGGACAGTCGCCACTGACTTGCTTCAGGAGTCCTTTGGAGAGCCTCTGTAAGTTAGCAGCAACTCAACAGCAGTGAGTTCGCGTTTGGAATAGTTCAAGTAGAAGATTGGTCATCTTTCTCCCAGGGAGATGATAATGGAGCCAAACCACTGATCTAAAGAGCTGCATCGCCAGAGCTCTTTACTTGGGTTCTCATTCTCACTCACTGCCATGAAGTCAGGACTGACTCATCGCAGGCCTCAAATAGCCCAGAAAGAGACTGTCCATCTTTCTCCCCCAGAATTGCTGGTGGATTCGAACCTCCAGAGAGGTTCAGCCCTTGGGTGAAAGTCCAAGGTGACTCCCTATGGACTATGCCACGAGAGGTCTCACGTTTAGGTTACAGTACATTTTAAAAGACAAAGATTTTGGTTTCAAATCAGAGGTTTACTTTAGTGTCATTTTTTAAGTCACACACACACACACACACACACACACACACACACACACACACACACTTAATAAACCACAGCACCTCACAACAACAGCTTGAGTTTTAGGTTTGTTGAGTTTTGTTTTTTGAGGGTTTTTTCCCCCCAAATAAGACTGTACCTCATCATAGTCAGAAAACTGGTCCGACTCTAGAAATACAAAGCAAGAATTCTACTACTGAAGCAGGGTTGCACAATTTGACAGGTAGAAGAAAGGGTGGATAAAGAAAAGGGGGGAAATCCAGTGTAAAAAACAATGTACATGAACTTTCAAAGTAAACCAGTATTTTTTTTTCTTAAAAAGGGAATAGTGGGCATAGCTCAATGGTGATTAATTTGACAATGTATAGGAATGATCATATGAAATAAATGTGAATGAAAGGGTGGGGAAAGGAAATACAAAGCAGTCCTGTCGTGGTATAGCTCTCACAGGTTTCACTGGGAAGATACTTTTACTAAGAGCTATTCACAATCTAATGGTAAAATCTGCACATAAACAGCTGAAGGACACTGCTGTAAATGCTCTGCTGCTGGCATGAAAAAATGGTATCAGCACTGGTATACTACTACTAAGACCTGAGGAAGGCATGGGAGTGCCAGAAATATCATAAATAATCCCACAAAACATACAGATTACAAAGCATTTGGAAGACTTACTGAGTAGCTTTTACAATGTCGCAGTTACTAGAGTCCTCTATAAGAGGAAGAGTTTCCTTCGCCTTTGCAAGTTCTTCATTTTCATGTACACAGATGCCATGTTGACCAAATCCTGGAGGGTGCGGTCCATGGCTGTGATTCCTGCACTGAAGAGAGAGAGGAATTTGACAGAGCACAGTGACAGAACTGATAGTACACAACTGCATAATGAAAAATTTTCTATAATCAATAATTAGTTACTGAAGTAAAAATGTTCAGGTGTATCCCAGGGAAGATTTTATCTTAATTGTATTTACAAGAAAAGATGTTTGGTATCACAACAATAACTCACTGCCATCAAGCTGGAACTGACTCATACCTGACTTTCCAGTGAGTTTTCAGAGGCAGAGGCTCATAAGGAAAACTACCCATCTTTTTCCTGCAGAGTAGCTAGCTGGTGGATTCAAACTGTATACCTTTAGGCTGGCAATACCACTCTATCCACTAGACCACCAAAGTATCAAATTACTTTTTTTGGTCATAAAACAAAGGCCATCAGCAGAAAAGAACATAAATGGATCTTCTTATTTGTAATGGGTAGGGGGCATAGCTTTTTGCATCATGGTGGCTGTTGTTAAGTGCCATAGAGTCGTAGGTGACTCATAGCGACCCTCTGAACAAAAGTCCTCAACACTTGCATGACTTTCATCCTTTCTCCAGGTTTATAGGGTTTCCAGAGGCAAGCTATTTATGGAAGTGGATGCCACTCCTGCTTCTAAGCTTGTTTTAATTGGGGAGCTCCACCCAATACCCCTGCTTCAGGAAATTTGTAGGTAGGTGCATCATTCATTCTTCTTAAATGTAGGCAGAAGCTATGATCTGATGAAAGCCAATGAGATACGGGAAAGGTGATGAGAAAATCCTTCCCATGATTATGGAATTGTTGTTGTTATGTGCTGTCGAGTTGCTTGCGACTCATAGCCACACTATGTTCAACAGCCCTAAACTCTGCTCTGTCCTGATTATGGAATTATGTAATGTTATTTAAGACCCTGTTTTAACTGATTGGAGGAACTCTTCTGCTGGTGTTGAAGTAATAAGGCTACATGGTAAGAAACAGTGCTGTGAGCAGCTTCAAGGTGTGAAAGTGGTCAGCAAATGACAGCTGGCAGGAAAACAAGGCCCTCTTAACTATTTCATCTATATGTGTCACAAAGAATTCGCTGAAAAATAAAGGGTGGAGATTAGTTCATTTTATTGGTTTGTCATTAATAATTATTACTATTGTTTTTAATTTTAAAAATGTTCACGTCAATAATTCTAAAATTATTATTCCTATGTTATGCATGTAGAAAAATAGAAGGTCTGTGTAAATATTTCCTCAGAGAGGAAATAAACTTTTCATTTTCTTCTAAATTCTATGCTTTTATAAGCACTTGCTTGGAAATAATTACATTTCAGAGCCTGGGACTAGACTTGCTTCAAAATTTTAAGACTACATAGGAATTTTCCTTTGAATGCTCTTCTACTTTTACCTACTTTTAAAGTAAAGTTTACAAAGCATATGTTAATTTCAAACATTTATGTACATCTTGTTCTATAACATTAATTTACCATACCTACAGTGTCTCATCATAGAAGTCCAGAGGCAAATATAAGTAATTTATGATATAAATCAGACTACCAATTATGACTCAAAAACACAAGTAACAGAAGGTAAACTAGAAAAATAAGACTATATGAAAATTAAATCCTTATGGGGATCAAAAGACTCCTCTAAAATATGAAAAAGAGGCTTCCTTTTTGTGCAGATAGGACTCCTGCAAACATGGCCATCATTCCCAAAATTCAGCAAACTTTCTACAAGAAGTGTGGCAAGCTCCAACCTCACCAAGTGACACAGTACAAGAAGGGCAAAGGCTCTCTCCAGGCCCAGGGAAAGCAGCATTATTATAGGAAGCAGAGTGTGTCTGGTGGGCAGACCAAGCCAATTTTTCAGAAAAAGGTAAAAACAACAAAGATGATGATTGAAAATTTCAATGTGTTGAGCCAAACTGCATATTTAAAAGAATGTTGGCTATTAAAAGATGCAAGCACTTTGAACTGGGAGGAGATAAGAAGAGAAAGGGTCAAGTGACCCAGTTCAAAGCTTCAACTTGTTTTATTAGTAAGACAATAAAGATAAACTCTTGAGATTTTCATGTTAAAGATCATATTAAAAGAGAACCTACAGTTTGGCACTTCCTCAAAAAGATGAACATAGAAATTCCAATTGACCCAGCTATTCCACTACTTGGAGTATACCCTGAGAATACGACAACAGAGGCACAAACTGAGATTTGTATACCAATGTTCATACCAGAATTATTCACCATCTCAATAATATGGAAACAGCTCAAATGTCCAAACACAAATTAATGTATTGAGAAATTATGGTAACATTCACACAATGCAAACTATGCAGCACATAGGAGCAATAACTTTGTAAATTATTACCTAACTTGGGAGGGACTGGAGAGTAGTATGCTGAGTGAATTAACTCAGTCCCATAAGGATAAATACTGTATAAAACTGTTATTGTAGAATGAGTATAAGGATCCAGGAGGAGTGGGAGAAGCTGGAAGCAGAGGGATGTGTATGTGCAGGGATTAATCATTGGGTTGTACAATTTAATGAGGGGGGTGAGGGAAATTGAAAGAATTTGTTCAAATTTGTATTCGAATTTTGTAAATAAACTAGTGGGGGGGGGGAAGAGAACCTACACATTGGGGGAAAATATTTGGCAACAGTACATCAGGGACTAATCTATAAAACTTATAGAAATCTTCAAAACTAAAACTGGGCACAGAACATAAACATTTCACCAAAGAAGATATTCAAGTGGACAATATAAACACATGAGAACATGCCATCATTTTTTAACCATTAAAATATGATCTTGATTTAAAAACTATCTCAAAAAGAGATTTC